ATCCATATTTTTTCGTTAAAAATGTCTCTTTGCAAACACTGAATTCAGATTTTGCATACAATTGTTTTAAAATACCTGTTTTAGTATCAAGTTTACAAAAGCCATCCTCTGTTTTACTAAGAACCACAGCTAAAATTGAACGTGCATCAGTTTCTGCTCTTCTTCGGGTACTTTAATTCCTACAGCGAAACCTTCATGGACGTTTGGGTGCTTTGCATTAGAAACTGCTAACATTTTCTTTGCTTGCTTTTCTAAACATTTCTTGGCTTCATCACTCTGTATTTTCTGATCCATATTCTTTTTACAGATGATGCACAATACATTCTTACCATACCCTTCCTCTTTAGGATCTACTTCACCACAACTGCGTGAACAAACATATCAGACGATTTACACTTGTGAGTACTTGATGCTGCTTTTGAGCAAACAATACAGACTATGTCGTGTATAGTGCTTTTTACAGGCTCCGTACGAAACTGTGATGGCGTTTCTGCTGAAGTTGAGAGTAACTCAGTGATGACAACTTGCAGAGGTAATTCCTTGGAGGTGCAGGGTAACTGAATATTCTTCGTGACTGTATCATCAATCAACGGTATAGAAGGCAGTTTAAAATTACTATTGATAAATTCTTGTATTTCTATAGGTGATTCTGTAGAAGCAGGGGATAACGGAATGTCCTCTTGAGTAAGATTTGACTGTGATTTCATAATCACAGTTTCTTGTGAATCTTCTAATTTTTCTACTCTTCCAGACTTCTACTATTATACCACAAAGTGTATTACATTAGATAAAAACTGAAGAAGACCTTGAAAAATTAGAAGATTGATGCAAAAACTGATGCACGTTCAATTGTAGCTGTGGTTCTTAGTAAAACAGAGGATGGCTTTTATAAACTTGATATTAAAACAGGTATAACAGGTATTTTAAAACAATTGTATGCAAAATCTGAATTCAGTGTTTGCAAAGAGACATTTTTAACGAAAGAAGATGGATGTCCCTGCTGTAGAAATATCTTTACGTCAAACAGCAATAAAACAATCCCTTGGTACTGGGCAGGGTTTCAGAAAATGTGACTGCAAATCTAAATGTACCACAAATAGGCGTGCTTGTCGCAAAAACCAATTGCTACGTAATTCAAAGTGTCACCAATCTTTAGATTGCACTAATAAGTAAGTACAATTTTATCATATGTTTTGCAAATTCATTTCCCTAATTGTAGTAATATTTTAAACCGTTTGATTTTTGTATTAAAGTTTTTTTAATTGATTGATGATTGATTCAATCAACTAATTTGTTGATTGTATTAACTTGATTCTTTAGATATTGAAAATTAAATAAATAACATTATGTTAATTTAAGCGTACAGAAACGTTGCTGTTGTTCCAGCAAAAATCTTATTTTCACTTTACCGAGTGCCTAGTAGGTAATTTGCAGATTACCTAGATAATCTGAACATTACCTAGGTAATTTGAGAAATGGAATAATTTTCGCAGCTTTAACGGATCACCCTAGTTAATCTGCAGATTAGCTAGGTAATGTGGACATTAACGGATTTCGAGCTTTAGCGGTAACATATTCACAAAATAATTTTAACAGCCAGGAAAGTTACACAACTCGTTGCTGGATTTTTTTGTCTTTTGTACGTAGAATTTTTATATTAAAATTCTTAATTAACTATAAATTTTATCGCAGATTTTCATCTTTTGAATCATAAATGTATATTTTTAACTAAATATAATATAGTGGTTAATTTTTTTTTTAGTCCAAAAACTTTTAAAATAATCAAGCCTTAGTCTGTCAATAGAAAACAGAACTTGTTGGACTACAACTTGAAAAAATTATAGATCTGTAAATATTCACTGTTGTTCGTCCATCCGTCTGTCTTTTCTTAATCTCGAGAAAGGAGTTAGATAGATGAAAGCCAAGACCATGTATGGAAATCGTAGGGGTATAAAGGCCCCAATTTCCATACAGTTATAAATATAAGAATTTCATTCGCATAATTCACACGAAAAAATATTATCCTGAATTAATACAGGGAAAAATCATTTTAGAATTTTGTGACGTTTCAAACGATTTCTTTCTGATGATAAATTTATTTCTTATTTATTAATGAAGTATTTATAATAAATAATATTTCTTTATTTTAATTTCAGGTAACATTACTCAGAAGAAATGCTGGAAGAGGACGACTTATGTGGATCATATGCGAATCTGTGCATGTTCACAATGTTTTGAAGTTGTACAATTGCTATTTTGATCCTTATGACTGTCAATCTTACTTTTTAAAAAAAATTATCGAAACTCTCTTCGATTATGCCGGATATTTATCATATTGTTCTGTTACTGACCAAATATTGCATTACATGAAACTGCTCAGTTTGTTCCAGATCGGTGAGATGTTTGTCCGTAATAATAATAATAAAATTGATTGATCACCAAAATTATTTCAATTTTTAAATTATATATTTCTTTCTTTTTAATACTTATTGTGTAATTAAGGCAGTTTAGTTTTAATATAGCCTTTTTATCTCCAGGTTCTCCTCTAAAGATCACAGATTACTGCAATTTTTTGAAAGAGGAGGAAACGAAGCTACAAAGACCGCGTGATTTAGCAATGATAGTTATGAATTGTTGGTCAATGATGGATAATATTGGAGTACAAATAGGACTTCTGCCAGAATTGGATAATATGCTTCATTCTTTACATAAACTGGATGTCTGGATTCACGAAGTACTCAACAGTAATTATTCATCAGAATTAGAATCTGTGGACATGTTTATCTCCAATTGGAGTAAGAATTTTTACAAATATAAATTAATTTTAAAATTGATGGTGAAATTCAAACGAAGTAAAAGTTACAGCGTAATGAATATTCGAAATTGTTGTTTTAGAGATAATTTTAAGTGTGCATTTAATATCGCAATGTTAATTTTATTTCTGCAATTTTGAGAATTGTTTAAGGTAACGTAAGAGATAATTAAAGTAATTGAAGTTAAAGCAGGAAGAAACTAATAACAAATTTACAAAGAATCATAAATTGAAATATTTTCTAAACTGGTATTTAGTATTTGAATGCATTGAGATAAATTTAAAAGCATAAATGCTTTTAAATTTATCTCAATGCATTCAAAGCATTTATGCTTGTATTAATATTGTTTTTTAAATTATTTTCTTAAATTATTTTCTTTGAATAATTAATAAGAAATCTTTTTTGAATGATTAAAACAATCATTCAAAAAGTTTATATTTATTTGCATTTTATCACTGAGTTAACAAGTTATGAAGGAAAAAAATATTTCAATAAACGTTCTTGAAAGGTGATTGTTTCACAAATAATATAATATTTTATGGCTGATAAAATAGCTTAATGCATATTTAAGAGCATTTCTTAAATAAATAAATATTGAGGAATATAGGATATAATATTTTTCTAGTTGATTTTTTTCATTATAAAATAAAATGTTTTAGTGAGAGTTGTCAATAGATTAAAGTATTTTTACAGTATAATTAAATTTCTACTCTAAGTAAATTCAAATCTTTCAGTGAAAATAAGTGATTCTTTTCGAGAAGAACAGAGTATCTGTAAGGTAATATGCAACGCATATTATAACTTTATTATTTCGTTTAAAATTTAAACATAACATGCTTAAAATTACCTATTTTTTAAATTTCAATTCTAGTCCAGTCCACTAGAACTGATAACGTTGCCCGTAGAAAGATTTTCTTTAATAACTATCTTAAATAAACAATATGCTAAATCGTTCATATATGCTCTGAAACTATTGGTGCACTATGTTCAGACTTCAGAACAGGTAATGTATAAAAATTATATTTTTGCTTAATAATTATTAATTTAAAAATCGTTCTTATGAACACTAGATACCTGAACATCATAATAGTACATTATAATTCACCTATGAATCATCTGCAAATGATTCACAGAACCATTAGAATGCAAGTGATTTCTATTTTCTTTTATCATTCTCTTATTTTTTACCTTTTTAATGCTAGTCACTATTTCTTTGAAATCATATCATTCTCTTTCCTCCTCAAATACTCAAAATTATCATATATAGTAAAACCTCGACATAGCATCTTCATGATTAGCTCGTAAAGCGCTAATAAATACTCCCAAAAGGATCTTCCCTATAAATATTAAAGAATCCAATAATATCCGCGAATTACTACTGTGTATAATGTTTTTTGTTACAAACATTATCACCAAATCATTATTTCTTGATGCCACTTGGAACAGAACTCGGCAATATAATTTTTTTCTGGCGGCTGAAGTTTGGATTCTTTCGAAAAGCTTTCCGAATTTCATTGCACTTTTTTCAGATTTTTTCAAGTTCTAGTTGAACAAAGTAAATTTAATTTATACCAAACTGATATGTAGATAAGAAAACAGACTGGTATTTCTAGAGAATAAGAACTATGACAAACACACGATTTAAATGTAAAATGAATAAAATAATTCTGAAAATTTTTCTTTACAGAAAACTTTAATTTCAATAAACTTGACAAATTTGATGGTTCAACAATTGGCATGGTCATACAAAACTTTGGAAGGTTCTTTTGAAATCATTAAAAATGATAAAACCTCAAAAGAATTTGTTTCCAAATTGGAAAAATGTCATTCATTATTAAAAAGTGAAGTTTCGTTCGCAAGAATTCCATTATTGCAATTAATTATATTAACTGATCCAGGTAACATCATTTTATTTTAAATGATCTTTTATATTCGTTATTATATTCGTAACTCATTAAAAATGCTTTGTGTAATTATCATCCTTTTGACACCAATACAAATTAACGGATTATTTTTCTATAGTTGCAGATACTGATAAGCAAAATCTGATGTTTTGGGAACTTCAACAAAGTTTCATGGATAAGTTAATCGGTATTGTGCGAACGGAAGAAAAGGGAGATTACACAAAAGCGAAAGTTCAAATTTATGATATTTTGAAACAAATTTTTAGATGTACTCGATATCTCGAGAAAAATAGAAAAGATTTTCCACTGCTATTCAATGCTCGTTCACTATTCAATTAATGTATCAATATGACGTAATAAATAAATAAAATGTTATTGAAATTACGAAGGTTGAATTCTTATTAATGACAATGAAAAAGAAAATATACAGTTAAAAACCACGATAAGACTTTGAACTTTAAGAAAATTCTTGACAATTTAATACGCAAATGAATTACATATATTTAATCACGTGATTTAAATATTAAATGTAATTCATTATTATGAAATTACAATAATTTTTAACAATAAGATGCTTTTAATAATATTTTATTGTTTGAATTTCGATGTTAAATGGTGCGCTACGTGAAGAAATGATTTTTGCGAATGTGGAGTGATAAGAAGCAGAAAAATAAATTTCCTCATTAAACATTAATTACAAAATAATCGAATGTTTTTGCAGGAGAGATGATAACGTTGAACCGGATGGTCAGCAAACAAAGATTATCCCAAAAATGTAAGTTATTACATTATGCTTTCTATAGAAAACTCGAAGTTATTTGTGACTAAGATTAAGTTAATAATGCTTTTTAAAATATTTGTATAAATGACTTGTAAAAAAACCTATTTGTAAAAGATAATAAATTTATGTTAACAAATATAATCACACAAAGAATTTCCAACTTTAAAGAAAATCCTCTATTTTTAAAATAAAAACAGGAGAGAGATAAAGAGAAATAAGTTCAAAAAAAGAATCGAGCTTAGGCTCCAACTATCACTTTTCATCAGAAATTTGTTTTCTGAGCCAAATTATCTATCGAATTTTGGCACCTGCAGATCACTGATACATATATTCCAACTTTGAACACGAATTTGTGATGGAACAATACGCTCACTGAATTGTTCGTGTAAGTAAATCTTTAGCTGTAAACTACTCTAACACAATATCTTGAATATCTTTCTGAAGATAGTTTTAAAGATATATAAACATTTTAAACCGTATATAAATATTCGTTGTTTTGGAGAATTTATACACATTCCAGTTAGGAATTGTCCAGGAACAATACAAGTTGGTCAGTGATGTGTCCAGGGACAAATATTCTTTGAATATTTAATCACAAAATACTGTATATTCAAAGGTAATTTTATTTATTTTAATTGTAATATAATTAGGCACTAATTATAAGGATGGAATCTGACGGAGATGGAGGTCAAACAAGGTCTTAATCCTAAGTCATATTAGTGTAACGAGACAAACGTATAAATCTATACTTTTTCTCACATTTAATTTCAATGTTAAAAGCTAATAGAAGCAATTCATTTTGTAATACGTGTTATCGTTTTATAATGCAATTCATAAAAGAAAGTTTAAGAAAAGTAGGGTATTCGTTTACAGGTTTGTTTCGGATAATGCGAAGCCTCGGATAATTGGGGTTCTACTGCAATATGTTCCAGAAGTGTGCACGTAAGTCGAACAATGGAATTGCTTGTTACAGTGTCTCTCAAAAGGTGAAATCGGTAGGTTAGGAGGTGATACAGGGACGTTATATAGAGGAGAGACGTGTAATAATAATTTTCTAATTTTGGTACTGTTCCCGAGATTACGAAAATAGTTTCCTCTCCGGATTTGATACCATTCGACCTTTTTCTTTGGTATTCTACAAAGGAAAAGGTTAGATCTATAGTTTTGAGCTAGAAAACAAGGAACAACTTGTACAAAATAATCGCTGCTGCATCAAAAGTAGGCCTGTAATACGCCAGTTGTTGGACGACATTCAATTTGTTGACATACTGAGAAGTGGTTGCATAAGAAAGAAGAGCATTTTGAACATCTCAATTAATTAATCGAATATTGTCAAGCAGCTCGTTTTGATAGAGTACTTTGTATTGTTACGGTGGAGCATGTATCTACTAATTTTTCAATTGTTAATAATAATAATAATACAGTAATAATAAAATAATCGCACAACCATTACAACGATGTCTTTACTTGTATTCGCCATGGTTTAGTAAACTGACAGGAAGTTGTGAAGAATAAATAACGTATAGTATCATCAAATGTTCGGTTGACTTATCTTTTGAAAAAACACTGTGAAGAAGAGTTCCGTTCTCAGAAAGCTAAGGAAAACTTATAGAAAACCTTCTATTTTAGAGATTTTACTTATTACAGTAAATCGCTTAAAATGCATAAAACATTATTTTTAAAACATTAAAACTATAGATTAAATAGAAAATAAATCATTTGGGAAAATTAATTTTCATTGTATTTCTGTTACCGTAACCAAAACTGGCGAAAAGCGCCGCTATACAAAAATCGAAATCATTTAAAAATGTACAAAAGTGCAAATTTAGTGGTATTAATCCTATCATACACAAATTAATAACAAGGTCTCCGCAAGTTCATTTCCCGTATTTAAGTGTTAGAAAAGTTCTCCTGGAAACCATCCCCATTGGTAGTTCTCTTATGAGTTATATTGCCTCATCCTATCAGTACAATCGTTTCTGGCTTGAAAAAAATTGCAGAATAAATATTAAAAATTATTCTTTTGAATAGTTCCTTTTAATAGTTTATCCGTTTCGTGTGCTATTTGTAAAAGAAAAAAACAAACTAATTTTTTATTGTAGATATTCAATGTCTTGGTTTATTTCTTAAATATAAATATATACATAAAGTGTAGAGTTTGTTTTGAAAAATGTAATTAAGGATTTCCAAAAATGTAAGTGTTATAAAATGTATTAATATTTTATGTTACAGATATATTGTTTATATAAGTACCGAATAGTTCTTATAATTTTAAATCAACGAGTGAAAGACTTTTCTTAAGTTCAGCTTTGAAATCGTTATTAATGGCGGCATAAAGATGGTTTCTCATTTTCTCTACAAAGTCATTCTTCAGTATTCTGAGATACCTATTAAGAAAACCCATTCCTTTATAAGAAACGTCTATTTCAATAGGCGTAATCAGTTGAAATTTAATTAGTTCAGGAATATTTCTTGGCACACGTGATTCCACTTCTATTTTTGCATCTATGGGTTTCATTAGAGCTTTGGCTCTTATAGGAATCTTTGGAAGTCTTCCATATTTTAAAGAGGCTTGATATTCGGCACGGAGATGTTTGAATTGCAGGGTACACTCAACAGACTTTGCAACAACAGTAGAATGTGGAAGGCAATCACCCAGTCGAACAACATTTTCCAAATTGTGAAGATCTCCCTTTGAATATGATGTTCTTACTCTACTTGTGATGAAAAGAATTCGATCTCTAGATTCCGTATTAAATTCTGGTAATTTTATATTCTTTATTTGATCAGATCTTTTAAGTTTTAAAGCCAAAACATTGTCCAAATAATTATTTGCCTGTTTTACACTATCACAGTTTATTTTTCCTGCAAGAATATTAAATTATTTATGTAAGAATTTTAACTAATACATATATTAAACATCTTATTTTATAATTTATATGATTTATTAAACAATTTTTACTGTAATACATAAATTCAAAATGTTATTTATTATAAAGGAAAATTATTATATAGAAATGAGTTATAAAGAGCTATGAAATGATTAGAATTGAATAAATAATCAAACCCCTAAACAACGACCACTGATGGGAACATAACGATCACTTCTTTTCTTTATTTGGAGGTTATTTTGTAGGCATTTTTGTTTTTAAAAAAATGTTCCTAAAAAAATAGCCACTGTTTAAAAGTAGCCAGTTATTGGAGATTCGAGCGTATTAAAAATTCACAGATAATGTACTGTACATATCCGTTGATTGTTAAAATAATGATTCATTTTATTAAAGATATAATAATAATATAAAAATGAGGTGACTCACGATATGAAATTTTAAAAATACGCTTACATATAGTTGTAGCGTCGGATATTTCATTACTGATGCCAACTAGGTAATTATATAATGTACTTTTTAGCTTTCATTTTTTGGCTAATATACAGAGATATTTTTGATAGTGTTAAACTAAATTCAGAAAACGGCCAAGGTTAATTATAAATAACAGTAATTATTTATATCACCTTACTTGAGTCAAAATTTAAAAAGTTCTCAATAAAATCCAGGTATTTTTAAATTGCTGTCAAGATTCATTATAAAGAAGAGATAAATACTACAATAAAATAATGCCTAATATAAGCTTAATGCAAAATAAAATAACTTTTTCCTATGTTAATATCATTTTTGCGTTATTTTTCTAATTAAAAAAACACTTTTAATTTTTTCTATTAAAATTTTAAAATTTTATATTATAATCTGTTACGACATATTTGCCGTTGAGTGACCTTCGCTAGTTGACCTAATATTCATTGGAGTCACTTTTGATCGTTTTTGTAGGGCATTATGTCATTATGCGCCTTTGTATATTTTGCCGTTATTGTATGGCATTTTGTCATATAATGATATGACAATTTCATTCACTTATTCAAGGTAAAGTGAAATTTATACTTAACACGTGAAACGTTACAACTCTTAACATTTTTAGCAATCACTGCATTGAAACATCAATATGAAATTCATTTCAATTTTCATGATTTACTGCAGGGAAAACATTTAAATGTTAAATTTAATTATACTTTAGATAAATTTTATGCAAACCTGTAATTATTTAGATTAGTGAAAACAAAGATAAGCCAATACAAAAGAATTTCATTCAAAACACAATAATTTGTAACCTAATTGAAAATATATTTTAATTAATCCCATCATTTACACTAAGCATTTATCACGCTTTTTTCCTACAAAGATGCCATTAAAATTGAAATATTCTTATATAAAATTTTAATGAATTTAACCTAATTAAAATTTTCTAAACAATCATAAATTTTAATTAAAAATAACTTTCTAAATATGTCAAGATCCATTGTGATAGATCACAATATTATATCCTACACGATTATTAGCCTAATAGCTTATTCGTGTAACTTGAAATAATTTTATACTAAAAATGTTTCCTTTAATTTTAATATGAGATGTTTATTATCATAAATAACAATTTACATTTTTATTACTTAATTTATATTTATAATTTACATAGAATATAACGTAAAATGTTAATAATAATATTTCATTTAAAAATGGCATTTCTTAACAAAATTTTTTGTATAAAATATTCTTAAAAGTAGATCCAAAATGAATTTTCGCTCTTATATATTAATTTATATTATTATAATATCTCTTACATGAGAACATATTTGTTATGAAGCTTTAAATTGGTGAGTAACGAGCATGAGAAATTACGTAGTCATTAATTAAATGCTTATTATCTAATTATCAATTGAAATTTATGAAAGTATTACTGTTAACCTATTTAATTTTAAAGTTATACTGAGCTTAACCTTAACCCATTATATTGGGTTAAACTATTTTTGCAATATCTTAACGAATGAATTCGAAACCTTCAAAGATATTATTTCTTCATACCTTATATAAAAATATGAAATTAAGTCTTTAACGTAGAATTTAATAAGAGTTTAATAAAACGTAATTTATTTAAATCCTATTTTTGAAAGATTTTTATAAAAATAATATAATTATTCTCTTAATAATAATGGAAAAATACAAACGAAACTTAAAATATAATTGTAAAATAAAATAGATATTTATGCAAATATATATATAATTTATTAGAAAATATTATACTATAAATATAATAGTGGTTTAATATAGTTTTATTTATATAATTATTAAGAAATTTAATATTAAGAAGGAGATATGACTTTGCTTTGCTTAATTTATAAATGTATAAAATAATTTTAATATTGTAATACTTGTATATAATTTTATATTTATGTTATAAGTATTAAAATGTACTGTATAAACACATCTACATACTGTATATATGCAAATATATACTTTATAGTCAAACCACTGATGGAAAGATTAAAAAATGGCCGCTGTTTAGAAGTGCGGTTTTTAGACGGTTTGACTGTATTACAAAAGTGTTTTATAAAATAAAATTTTAGAAAATAATAGAATTATTATCCATAATAATTTTATGTTATAATGTCTAATAATTATGTATAATAAAAGTAATTTCTTTAGGAAACTCGCGAGATATTTTTAGTATACAAATTTACATACAATATACAATGTAGGCTACTGTTTTAATTCATAATTAGTACAGTAGAACCTCGAAAACTCGGCCTAATGTGGACCGAAGGGTGGCCGAGTTTGTGAAAATGCCGGGTTATCGGGAATAGGGTTAAAAAAAATAATTACGAGTGTTTCCTCAGAAAATACTGTACTGTACTTGTATGTATTGTTTACTTGAGAATATAACAGAGAATAAACTGCCCAAATACCCTTAAACAAAGGAAAAATACGTCCTTTATGAAGGCATAGAGCCTTTACTACATGAAAATGAAAATTAATGAATACACTGTGTACAGTAATTTACCTGATAAGACAGACCTCAGAAAAATACTTTATGAAAGCTTTTATACTTTTATAAAGCTGTCTA